CTTCAAGCATCTTGCAGTGTGTGTCTCTCCATTCTTCCTCCAGACTCTGGGTCCTTGGTTTCCAAATGAGATGCAAAAGTTGCTCTCATCAGAAAAGAGGACTTTGGACCACTGAGCAACAGACCAGGTCAGTTTTTCTTTAGCCCAGATAAGACGCTTCTGATGTTGTTTGTTGTTCAGGAGCAGCTTGACAAGAGGAATACGACATCTGAAGCTGATGTCCAGGATCCGTCTGTGTATGGTGGCTCTTGATGTACTGACTCCAGCCTCAGTCCACTCCTTGTGAAAGTCCCCAACACTTTTGAATGGCCTTTTCCTGACAATCCTCTCCAGGATGCGGTCATCCCTGCTGTTTGTGCACCTTTTTCTTCCACACTTTTCCCTACCACATAACTTTCTATTAATGTGCTTTGATACAGCACTTTGGGAAAATCAAACTTCCTTCGCAATTACCTTTTGAGGCTTTCCGTCCTCATGGAGGTTGTCAATGATGGTTTTCTGCACAACCATCAGGTCAGCAGTCTTCCCCATGATTGTGATTCCTACTGAACCAGACTGAGAGACCATTTAAAGGCTCAGGAACCCTTTGCAGGTGTTATGGCTTACTTAGCTGATTAGAGTGGGACACTGTTCGCCTAGAATATTGCACCTTTTCACAATATTCTAATTTACTGAGATTGTGGATTTGGGGTTTTCATGAGCTGTAAGCCATAATCATTGCATTTATGACAAATCACAGCTTGCATGTAATGCGTCTATCTCGTTCATTAGTTTCCCCTTTCACGTTGCATTACTGAAATAAATTAACTTTTGCACGATATTCTAATTTTTCGAGTATCACCTGTACATTTAATGGGAGACCTTAGTGAGCAAACAATTATCACATCAGGTTATATAAACACAGTGGGTAATACTCTCTGAAGAGCAAACAGTTGTCACCCTCTCAATTCTTTCACAGCTATCTCTATTAGGGACTTTATTCGACTCAGAAGAAATTGTTTGACTTTAGAAATTTATGAACAGCAAGCAGAACAATTAGCTACACTTCTGTCCGAAAGGAAATACTTTGGAATATGAATAAATAAAAGTTATTTCCAAGCCCCAAAGAAGGATAGGGTTTCTCTCTTTGAGGGCCATAAAAACCTCTAGAATATATGATTCTAGCGTTCTGTTGGATGCAAAAAATAGATATATAAAAAAATGAAACCTAATTAAAATTACCATTTTTTTGCACAAAATTTTGTAACCAATTTAATACTAGAACTGGTATTGTACAAAGACATCTTCCATATCCTTAATTCCAACCCATTTCATAGGAAACTCTGTAACTGTAAACTAAAAATTAGTGCAAGAAGACAATCGTTAAGATCATATTTGTCCCCCTGCATTTTTTCAACAAAAAATATCCAGCAGAGTAAAAATTGCGTGGATCGTTATTACTGTAAATACGGCAATAATAATATTTTTCTAATTTCTTCCAGTACAGATTTAAAATAGGAAATTAGACATTTTTACATTTGCTCCACTGAAGTAATCAGTTATTTGCTCATTTTTATAAAACAGGTCACAAGCAATAAGTAGGTCAACGTGAATGCAAGCACAAATTAAGAATGGCAAGAATAAGAAGGGTACAGTATTAAAACAGAATCTGCAAAACAATCAACAGTGTTTAAACAAGTTAGAGCCTGTGTGCGAGCTTGTAGGATATTGCATATTCTATGTTTCTATTGATTATATATGGATGTGTGGATTGACATAAGTAACCGATGGCCTAAGTCACAAGGCTTTCTTTGTCCGAGAGCTCTGGAATGTGGATGTGGAGGTTTTGTCCTTATATGGCTAGAGTTAAACGCTGACGTTAGTATGAGCACATCTTTATAGTAACAGAGGGACACGAGGTCACTCTCTCTTGGCTCGTGGCTCGGGGCTCTCTCTGGCTCTCTCTCTAGATGTAAGGATGCAAAAGAAGTCCAGCAATTACCATCTGCTGTTGAATGTCCATTATCCTGTAACATAATTTATTATGTTTTATTATGTATCCGTAACAAAGAATAAACCAGAAGAAACCGTAAGTCAGATTGCGTATTACTACTTTTCAATAATATAGACATATATTATTGTGGCGAGCATTTGGCCCAAGACTATATATACAAAAGACGTATATGTTTTAAGGCCGTTTGGCCTGTATTTGTGGGAGGGGCTTAAATAAATTCACTCCCCTATATAAGGGACACCCCTTACCTGACTCATATCGCTTGAGGTCAGCATCAGAATGATTTCCACTTCCGGGTCATCCAGACGCCATTTTACCTGATTACTCCATGAGGTTTTCTAAGCTGAGCTATGTCAGGAATTCAGCCACAGGCTTTTCCGGCCTTCCACATTCTTTCTTCAATCTATCGCTATGGATGGTGTCCAAGTGACTCACAAACCGTAAGTCGACCTACCCGTTACGCCAGGCATCAGTCCCACGGCACCATGCACGGGTCAGGTCCTCACTTTACGGCTGCATTTTGTCTAAATCTGTCCTAAAACCATTGCATGTTCATGCATATCATTTGTTTAAATTCACTTGTTTATATCTGTCACTGGCTCATTTCGAGCATTAGCATACTTCCAAACGGGAACACATTCTGTTTCAATTGCCTAAACATACTAGGCAATTCTGTGCATGCATTTCAAATCTCACTGCTCATTTCGTTTTGTTTCCCTGACATACTAGGCTCACGGTTCGCGAAATTTTCTACCAAACGGGAACTAGTTCATGCATTAACTATTGTACTACACACGTTTCGTGCGTTTACAACCCACGAACAGAACTTTGGTTTGTTACAATGACTGTTATTAAGCTATTATTGTCAAACAGGCACTGTTTGTTTCCCTGTCATACAACTATAATGCTGGGGCATAGCTCACGAACAATGTTTCACATAAACCACACTGACTCCTACAGGTCACTCTCAAAATCTCATGTTAATCTTGCATTTGGATTAACCCCTTAAGGGCCAAACTCTGGAATAAAAGGGAATCATGTCACACATGTCATGTATCCTTCAGGGGTTAAAGGGTATTTTACCATACAATCAGCGTTTCTGACCCCTACTGGTCAACAGCAAAACTGTCTTCACATGTCATATACAATTACCAGCCAATATAAATTACACATAAGATTGTTTTAAACATAACCATAAACCATAAAATAAACTCCAACACGGGCTCAACTTCAGGTTTAATTCACAATAATTTACATTTCACAATAGGGATTAACAGTGGTTCTATTAACACTGCCACCTACAGGTCTGTCAAGTACATTGACAATTTTCATGGGGTTTTACAAAACACCAAAACACTGACCCCTATAGGTCAACAGACCAACAACATTTCACATACCAATCAGTATCAACTACACTGCCACCTACAGGGCACTCGGCAGATCTCCAGTGCACTTGTATTTTGCAACACCATGTTCACTCACCATTCAATAAGGCATACAACAATTCACATAGCAAGCAGTATATCAACATCTGTTATAAATACACATATTATTACACAGTTGCACACGCATCTGTATATACGTAACTGGTAATATGGTTCACATACATACGGCACTTAATGGGTTAAGATTGATACATATTTAACCAGTATGGATAAGATGTTTAATATTTACATATCACGGCACTTTACTTTCACATATACTGTATGTTTTAAGATAAGCTTGGTCTATGCCATATTTCCTTATGCCATACGATTTTATCCATTCAGGTTACAGTTACTACTAAAAAACCTATACGGATTGTCAGGTTCAATACAATACTACCAGGTACGTACACCTGCTCACGTAGTTATCCATCTCTTACCTTCCCTGGAATAGTAATAGTGTACTGGCAATTAGGGTTCTAGGGCCCAATAGGTATTACCCCCTTTTTTCTCTGCATTATGCTTCGGTTAGTGGTCCCGCGAGGCCAACACCCCGCCTCACACTCGGAGGCATACACCCCTCGGGCCACTCGTGAGCTAGCCGCCTCGCATTGTATCATAGAGAGGGCCTCACCTGTCACTCCCCTTCCTATTTTTCTGGTTACTGTCACCGAGAGGCCAACATCCTGCCACAACGTTCGGTGGCCACACAAAATCCCCTCGCGCCAAGCATAGATAGAGCCTCTCAAGCCACTTGGCAACTAGCAGGGCCTCACCAGTCACAAAAAAACACCAAGCCTAATCGTTTCTCCTTACGGCTTAGCTAGCAAGCCGGTACAAGACCCCTGGGTACAAATATATAATTGCAATTTTATTGTTATTCAAGTATTCCTCAAAAAGATGGTAAAGAATCACCTCTTCCTAGCACCCCGGCTAGAAGTGATACACCTTCATCTCTTACCTTCCCTGGAGTAGTAGTAATGTACTGGCAATTAGGGTTCTATGGCCCAATAGGTATTACCCCCTGTTTTCTCTGCTTTACGCTTTGGTTAGTGGTCCCGCGAGGCCAACACCCCGCCTCACACTCGGAGGCATACACCCCTCGGGCCACTCGTGAGCTAGCCGCCTCGCATTGTATCATAGAGAGGGCCTCACCTGTCACTCCCCTTCCTATTTTCTGGTTACTGTCACCGAGAGGCCAACATCCTGCCACAACGTTCGGTGGCCACAAAAAATCCCCTCGCGCCAAGCATAAATAGAGCCTCTCAAGCCATTTGGCAACTAGCAGGGCCTCACCAGTCACCAAAAAACACCAAGCCTAATCGTTTCGCCTTACGGCTTAGCTAGCAAGCCAGAACAAGACCCCTGGGTACAAATAATAATTGCAATCTTTATTGTTTAAGTATTTCTCAAAAAGATGGTGAAGAATCACCTCTTCCTGGCACCCCGGCTAGAAGTGATACACCTTCAAGCAGATGAGATGTGGCTCCGACCTAAGGAGGCGACAAATCCCCTACCCTGCCACAGCAAGGAAAGCAGAATTATTCAAACTCCTCCATACATCAACGGACAACACGGAGGCAGGGGAAGGCCCAGCAACACCAACTCAGGTGACACCCAGGCCATGCTAGCCTCACTCATAAACTCATGAGCCAAAAAATTTACGACAGACTGGCAATCTTGAGTCGGTCACAGCCCTCACAAGGCTGGGCCTCACGCTACTGTACAACCAGCACCAACCGAAACTCGGTTACCTGGTACAATCAATTCTTGGTACAAGACGTTAACCCTGCACATATGATCCCGGCACATTGGGGAAACAAGGCATATATATGTATGATGATGTATCTATGATGGTCAGACCCAGGGATTCTAGGTAAATCGGGAACTGACCATCCCTTGGTTGTGTTGGCATTTGGAATATGTAGAGATGCTTATTTGTGCAGGTACCCATACAGAAGGGATTTTCTCCCAAACAAACGGACGAGTACTCTCAGGCTCCAGGTACCAGCACCTCTGAACTAACAGAGACAATTGGTATTAGTAGTTGCATTGCATATAGACTGTTGCATATATGTTCAAATCATTCAGGGCACATGACAAACCATGTGTCCCAATACAACTTACAAATAACGTACTCACCATCTGTACACACCAATGCATTTTCAACACTACTGACTCATCATCCTTCCAGACTTGTAGTAGATTTACTAAGGCTCTGGAGCTTCAAAGGGCTCCCATACATGTATCATAAATAAACCCTCAAGGAATATAGCATGCCCTCACTTACAGTCAGCACAACAGAACCGTCAGCTGTAAACACACACATAGCCAAGATTTGCAGAGGGGTTTTTACTTGGGTTTTCCAATCTCCACCATTTACAGCATGGCACCAAACACAAACACATTGGTATTGTCACAAGGGAATCTTCCCTTAAACAAAGACTAACCATAGACTTATTGGCACCACACACCTTCGCTACCCCAAGTCTCAACTCCCTCATACCCTCCGAGGAGTTTCCTTACTATACACACCATTGATCTACCTTTACAGCTATCACTCAAGCATGGGTTGAAGATTTGTTAAGTAAGACCAATATCATCAACACAGTAAACGGCTACCATCTACCGTACAAACTGGCACTTACATGGCATAAATGGGCAATCCTTTCCCCGCTAAAAGCAGCTGCTGTGGCATGGGGTAAATCATGGTCAGGGTCATCAATCCGTTGTTACTCAGACAACTAAGCACATGTCATATCATCAACAAATGCCACTCATCATCCATACGATCATGGTATTGCTGGGGAACTCACTTGGTTGGCCACTTACCACATTTCTTTTACTTTCGTGTACCAGGCGGGGGTATACATCCCTGCCGACAATTGTCTCATTTATATTCCAGGAATGTCCATCATACGCTTCCTACAGCCGCCTATACAGTCACGGCCACTCTTTCGTTCCAGAGACAAAATCATGGATTAGACATACTCATGCAGCATAGCATGCACTATCCCACCTAGCACTTTCATCCTATACTTGTAGAACGCATAACACAGCTATTCACCTGGCTTTAAAGAATCTCATTGGAACACGACATAGCTCAACCTGTGTCATAACATTTCTCCTAGGTTTTGCTTCATTTTTTTGCCACCTTAAACTAAAACCATCTCACACACCATTAATTATATATTTTACAGGCATTCAACAACAGAGGATAACCTATGGCCAAAACTACCATAACTTCATGCTATCATACCAGACAAGAATATACTATACCATCCCCCCACGTTCCACTCAGAGATTACCAATAGCCATCCAACTTTTCCATCCTTATCGGACCTATTAGAGCTACAACGATTCAATTATACTACCAAGTCGGCCATTACCAGCCATGCACACTGCCTTTTATGCCTTTCTCAGGCCAGAGAATCCACTACCATAACCACCACTCAGACAGATCATTGTCTTCAATGATCCCACATATGTAAACACATATATCATTACCTATTGGCTCTACCACATTCCGAAACAAGTCAACACACACCAACAGTAGAGATAACATACTATCCTACCCACAACAAATGGTGTCCAGTTGCGGTCCTAGATTCCTACCTTCAAAATCCTTCCAGGAATTAAATACTGTAATGCATTTAAGGAAATGTCTGGTTAATTTGTATATATTGTTGACTGTATTAAATCTTTGATTATTCTTTTTGCCCTCTTTATTTACAGGCCTACCGTATCGTCGGTCTCGGCACACCACAACCGACTTGCTCCCTTTATACTATCCTACACTTATGCTGGAACCTTACCCCATATACGGCTATTTGCCCCGAACACAAATATTAATCAACTGAAGACAAGAAGAAATTAGCCAGTCTTCTATTCAAGTTTTGTTCCCACTCCAAGGGGGGAGAGAGAAGAATCGAGTTACAAAGCTATTTTGGAACTGGGAAAACAAACTTGAAAAGAAAAAAAGAATCTAGACTGTGGTTTGTAAGAAAAATAAAGTTTTCAAATCACAAAGACTGTACAAGACTATTTTCTACAACTGAGAGAAAAAGCACAAGATACAACGTGAATTCTAGCAAGCACGTGGCAGACATTGGCAAGCGTCCAAAACTGAGCAGATGTGTGGATGAAGCAACGAAATAGACAGAGATAACTGATCTGGTAAAGCGTGACAGATCCTTGTGGCAATAAATCAGGAAAGCATTCAACTGGACATCGACCGTTGGAAAGAGACTTTTCATCTGATCTGCAAACTGTGATGGAAGATTCTACAGAGTTCATTCGATACAGAAGATTAACAGACTTACAAAGAAATAAAAGATTGACACTAACATACATATATATTCCTAAATATTAATGAAGAAGAAAACAGACAATGAAAAGTTATTTAACAGTTATGAGTATTAATACCAAAAGAGACTACTTGTAGCTATATAACACATGGAGTACAATTATGAAAGGATAGTATTATGAAGAGAACTATTACATTATTACCTATACATAGAATGTAGATAAAATATGAAGTTGATAAAATAAGGATCATGGTTACTTAATACTACAAAGATTGAGTTCAGTAGTATTTCATAGATTTACTAGAATAGTAATTTGTTTATAATCGAGGTGAAGTAAAACAAACAATGGTAACATAAGGAAGAAAACTAAGGAAGAATAATTTATATTGAGTAATATTAAGTAATGGTATACATTGAGAATGCTTTGGATATAAGAGTTCAGAGTTCCAAGAGGAATTGAATTGAAGTTGAGTTAAGAGTATAGTACACAATTATATTTGACCTAAGTCTACAAAGGTGTGGACTAGGGAGAATAGGTTTCTGGATATGGTGATATCCAATGAATAAGTTGTTTTATGATTTCCCTGAGTTTGTTAGACACAGACTAGGAATAAGAGTTTCTGGGCAGTATGACCCCAAGTTTATTTTATTTTAGTCAGTTGAAGTGTACTAAGGAATACGGATTGGTCAGAACATTAGGACAATCCTGTTTTAAAGATGTATTACATTAATAAGTCATCACAATGCTAATGAAGAGAGTGATGCTAATGAATTTAAAGTATTCTTTCCAAGTTCTTTTAAAGTAAACCATTCTCTGATTGAATGAAAAGTTTGTTACTACAAGGTGGAATTTTAGTGAAAATTATAATTATGTAAACAAAAACAAATCTATGTGAGAAAGATTATTGGGTGGATAATTTCTAGAACAATAAGTACTGTCAACACCATGAACATTATTTGAAGAATTATTATAGAACTTCATGGTTGATAACACATCCTTTGAATGAGTCTTATAAGTAGTGTTGATATATTTCAGGTAGTGAGAGCCTACTGAATATACAAATTAAATACTATGATTGTAAAGTACTGATACAATCATCACTAGGTGGTATTAATGGTATAGGAATGTAATTCATGAATACAAATGACCTAAAGATTTTAAGGTTGCTAGAAACCATATGATTCATGGAAATCTAATTGGACAGGATATTATAGTAATACATGTATCACAATGTTTCAGTGTACCCTCATGTCCCCATGTCTCAGTGTCTTCTATGTATCACAGTGTCCCAATGTATCACAATGTTTCAGTGTACCCTCATGTCCCCATGTCTCAGTGTCTTCTATGTACCACAGTGTCCCAATGTATCACAATGTTTCAGTGCCCCATGTGTCCCAGTGTCCCCTCATGTCCCCATGTCTCAGTGTCTTCTATGTATCACAGTGTCCCAATATATCACAATGTTTCAGTGTACCCTCATGTCCCCATGTCCTCTATGTATCACAGTGTCCCAATGTATCACAATGTTTCAGTGCCCCATGTGTCTCCATGCCCCGTGTCTCCCAGTGTCACCTCATGTCCCCATGTTGCCCAGTGTCACTTGGACACTAGGGGACACTTAAGAGACATGAGAACTCATCTTTCTCTCTTCTGTGAGACATTGGGACACTAGGAGACACTGAGACATAGGGACACTGTGAGACATGCGGACACTGAGACACTAGGAACACAGAGACTTGGGGACATTAGGAGACATGGGGACACAAACATTAGGGACACAGTGTCTCAGTGTCCCCATGTCTACCAGTGTCCCCAAGTCTCTCAGTGTCCCTAGTGTCTCAGTGACCCTAGTGTCTCAGTGTCCGCATGTCTCCCAGTGTCCCTATGTCTCAGTGTCTCACAGCGTCCCCTAGTGTTTCAGTGTCCCCAGGTCTCTCAGTGACCCCAAGTGTCTGTGTCCCCAGTTTAACCAGTGTCCCCTAGTGTCTCCAGTGTCCCCATGTCTCCCTGCAGCCTTTACCCCATCCTTCACTTCCCTGACCTGTAGGCTGTCTCTGTAGGCTGGGAGCTGCTGTCTGAACTCTCTGTGCTGTGTAGCTGCTCCCCTGCAGATCAGTGAGTAGAGAGAGGCAGGGAGGGATATGCTGTAACTTCTTGTCCCTACCTCTCTCCATACACAGTGACCCCTACTGGCCGGCGCTGGTATTGCAGAGTAATCTCTATTTATGCATAGAAATATGCCGGCATTTGTATTGCCGGTTTTACTGCAATACCGGCACTGGCCAGGCAGCCTCAAATACCATAAAATACCAGCCAGGTGGCAACCCTAAGAGTAATGTGTTAAAAAAAAAAAAAAAAAGTTACAAAAAATAATATTTTTCTTCAAAATCAATGGGCCTTTTCCATGGGCCTTGGCCTGGAGCTGCAGCTCCATCAGCCCCTATGTTAATTCGGCCCTGCCTATTATGAGAAAAACTGATCGGAATTAGGATGCTATGTATACTTATACTGTTTATAAATCTGCTTAATATTGTACCTCTTGCTGTCTGACATTAAATAAAGTATGGTAAAAAACCGAGGGAGGACAAAGACAAAAGACAGGACAGCAGGAGACCCATCGGATGCCATTATAAATGTTAAATGAGGATACAAGTGTATTGGGTATTAAAAGTTATACAGTCATACAGTAATGAAAGAGAATTTTGAAAGGTGTAGGAAAGCCGCAGTGCTGCAGTAACACACAGATAAAACCAGAGGTGGCATTGAGAAATGTAACGGCCAAAGGGAGGGGTTCATGACGAGCAAACCAAATGAATTCTACACAGCAGTGTGGAAAAATAAAGTGAGTTAAAAATCTTTTTTTTTTAAAAATAAAGAAATTAAAAATAAAGAAAAATTTTTTTTTTTTAAGTATAAAAATATGTATTAATCCAAGAAAATAAAAAGGTTGAATTCCACAATTAATCTTTCAGGGAACAGAGTACCTAATATAAAAATCCATCTCATTTCCTTCTGTCCCAAATGTTTAATAAAATGACCACCCCTCTGATTTTGTTTGTCACCTGTTTAATTCTAAATAAAGTTAAACCTTTGGGATTCTGATTAAGATATATTTTTTAAAATGATAAGATACACTATGACTTTCTAAACTTATTTTAATATTCTAGATATGTTCTCTGATACATTTATAGAGTGGTCTACAAATGTTCCCCACATTTTGGTGGTTACACGGACAAGTTAGTAAATAAATTACATTATTATAATGACGTGATCTGTTCTTTAATTTCATATTCTTTCTCAGTTATGTTGGATC